GATTGGATTGCTAACAAACCACTGTAGTGACTTTCACCTGGTGTGCTCTTCAATCAGAACTTCAGGCTTTAGTGTAAATGCTAGCCAGGCATATGCCCTCTTTACCCATGGTCCTAGTCTAAATTCAACCTCACTATGACAAGAGTAGCCTTATGCTAAGGACTTCCATGACAGTTTTCTTTTACAACATAGACCATGAAATGGGAAGAGGTGCATAGTGAAACGTTTAGTTTAACCTGATTTGATCAATCCCTGGTGTTTTTTAAAAGTTCACAGGGAAAGAAATCTTGGCCAGTATTCGATGTGCTACTTGTGGTCTGTAATGCTCAGAAAGTGCAGTACTATATCCCCTCCGCCCCCTTGGAGTACAGCTTTCATTCTCTGCCACTGTCGTTTTCTGATATTAGGTGCCTAGGTAGCTTCTGATGGCACTTCTGCTGCTGATAGGAGAGGTACAATATCCTATTCTCCTGTCTTCCCCTCACCACAAAATGGCAGTGGCATTGTACTCTGGTGCTTGGAGGTTACCTTCCATGGTGGGGAAAAAAGAGAATGTTGCACATCTAATCAATGGGATTCTGGCCATCATTTGCCTTTTGCTAGTCAGAGTTTAATCACACTCCACAGTTTGTTAGAAGCAACAGACTTCATGTTGCATAAAATGTTAGTGAATAGATGGACGGGGAAAGCACCTCTGCAGTTCATTTTTGAAATAGCTGCTGCTAGTTGACTCTTGAAATGACTTGCTCCTGCCATTCTGTTCACTGTAGTTGTTGTAAATGATGGTGATAATATACTTCAGAAGCCACTGCTGCATCAACTGGTTTCCAAATCTCACTGCATATGTTAGCAAAACTAGTCAATCTGGATTATTATTTATTTGTATGCTACTTCATTGTTATGTTGTGCTGTCCTGGGCTGTGTTCCAAATATACTTATAGCTTAAAAAGAAAAGTATATTAAGGGAAGAAAGAACTACCTTTTGGAACATTCTTTCTGACTTCTGGAACCAAAAAACCTAGGTTTCCTCCAACTATCCCTGTTCATAAGCCATGTGCAACAGCATTTTTGCAAACCAAGGATTTTTTTTCTTGAATGCTTTATATTTTAAAAGTAAGCTTAGTGATTCTGTTCCAGCAAGAACACAGAAGGTACAGCTGTGTCTATATCTGCCTAGTAAATTTGAATGCCTCTTTTGGCTGCATTTTGAAATACTGCACAGTCAGAAAAGTGGTCCAATATACAATGACTGATTGGCTGTGCAAATATTGCAGGAGTTGTATTCTATAAAGCAGCCCTAGTTCTGGCTCTATGATGCTCACATGATGCCATCTAGGGAAGTCTTTATTTTTTTCTAACATACTTATAGTCTGAAGCTTGCTAACAATAAAAATGAACATAATAATCCATAAAAGAGCAATACATTTATTGGCTGGCCAAAATGAAAAAAACACATCAGGCATGCTTTTGAAGCTCTACTGGTTTCTTCATCACTCAAAATATGTTTTAAAAAATCATACAGGAGTTGAGGAGAGGATTGGGGGGGGGGGGAGAGAAAACTGGTGATAGTGCTGAAGTCACAAATCTACTTTTGCATCAGATGTAGAATCTGCTGTAGATATAATTTAAGGCACTGTATAATTGCAGTAATATAATCTATTATCGTCACTCTAATAAAATAAAGTTGAATTTTGTAAGTTGCATTTTTAAAGCTGACCATTACCTTGAAAATAGTAATCCCTGTTGTACAATACTTTGGGCACCCTGAAGGATAAGGAAGTGATTAACAAATACTTTAAATAAATAAACACTGCCATCATTTTTTTTTTTCTAAAAAGGAAGCTCTTACATGCATTTAGAAGGTTGAAAGAGGTCATGTAAACTTTGTGGAAAGGGAAGGTCACAGGTATGGCACCACCATCAAAAATATACCTTGTAAGTAATGATTGGTTTTGTCATTATGAATTATCAAGAATACTGGTAACATCAAGTCCAACTCAGGATAGTCTAGAGCAGGGCTTCTTAAACTTTCCCATCTGGCCTGATAAGTCATTACAGGACCCTGGACATTATAAACGCATGAAATAGGCATAAAAAGCAAACATTTGCTGATATCAAATTAGCTTGCTAAACAGGCAGTGTTTCCTTTTTGTGGAGTACAGCTGAAGCATCTTCTGCAGAGTCCACTGAAAACACTGCACAACAGATTCATGTAAATGTTGCAATTTTGGGGGGTAAAAACAGGGGAAGCTGACAAACTGTAGATAAAGCTTGGTGTTGGAGATAGGCTAGTTTCTAGATGAGTTTTTTTCTTGAAACAGCCGACATTTACTTTCAAGAAAAGAAAATGTGTATCAGATCTTAATTGACCCTGAAAGCGATCATTTGGCACAAGACTGCCACTTTAGCTAACCGGGTCTGGTGAATATATGGCCTGTCAGGTGTGATGGACTCCCAGAAGTCCTCCTTAGGTGATTTAATGAGGTAGGGTGTTAGTGTCTGCAATCCAACAGAAGGGTGGCAACTATATTGTAATATTAATGCAATCTTAAACCACTTTAACTACCATGGCTCAATACTATAGAATCCTGGGATTGGTAGGGCCCTTCCAAACAGCCATATAACCCAGAATATCATGGCTGATAATCCACAATATCAGCTTTGTACTGGGTTATCTGAGTCCACGCTGCCAAACAATCTGGTTCAATGTGGATTTTATACAGCTGTGTGGAAGGGGCCTCAGATAACCCACTTCAAAGCAAATATTGGGCCTTGGTATTCTCGGTGTCCTTCCAGAGAGACCCTATATCCCAGGATCTGATCCCAGATTTTCTGCTTTAAACTGGAGTCTGCACTGCCAAATAAGCTGGGATAAACAGAAAACCTGGGGTCAGATCCTGGGATATAGGGTCTGTCTGGAAGGGCCCTGAGGCTCCTTCCACACAGCCTAATTAGAATCCTAGAGTTGGAAGAGACCTCATGGGCCATCCAGTCTAACCCCCTGCCAAGAAGCAGGGAAACTGCATTCAAAGCACCCCGACAGATGGCCATCCAGCCCGTTTAAAAGCTTCCAAAGAAGGAGCCTCCACCACACTCCAGGGCTGAGAGTTCCACTGCTGAACAGTTCTCACAGTCAGGAAGTTCTTCCTAATGTTCAGATGGAATCTTCTTTCTTGTAGTTTGAAATCATTGTTCCAGGTCCTAGTCTTCAGGGCAGCAGAAAACAAGCTTGCTCCCTCCCCTCTATGAATTCATTTCATATATTTATACATGGCTATCATGTCTCCTCTCAGCCTTCTTCAGGCTAAGCATGCCCAGCTCTTTAAGCCGCTCCTTATAGGGCTTGTTCTGAAGACCCTTGATCAATTAAATCCCACATGATCTGCCTTGATATTCTGTGGGCCCTTCCACACACACAGCCCTATATCCCAGAATATCAAGGCAGAAAATCCCACATTATCCCAGTGTGGACTCAGATAATTTGGTTCAAAGCAGATATTGTGGGATTTTCTGCCTTGATGTTCTGGGATATAGGGCTGTGTGCAGGCCCGTAGCCAGGATTTTGATTCGGGGGAGGGGTTTGGTTCGGGGGGGGGGCTGAGTGAAAGAGGGTCTACCCTAGCAAACCTTTTGTATCGTTACCCCAATACCCCCATGCATATGGGATATATTGAGCATGGTGATCAGATCATGATATGAATAAACATAACAGTTTAAATAATGTACCAGTTTTGAAGAAAAGAAGAAAGCGCAATAGCTGGGTTGCAGCTAAACATAAAAAAAAAACCCAAGATTATGGCAACAAGAATGACTAACAACTGAAAAATAGAGGGAGAAAATGTGGAGGCCGTGACAGACTTTGTATTTCTAGGTGCAAAGATTACTGCAGATGCAGACTGTGGCCAGGAAATCAGAAGACGCTTACTTTTTGGGAGGAGAGCAATGTCCAATCTCGATAAAATAGTAAAGAGTAGAGACATCACACTGGCAACAAAGATCCGCCTAGTCAAAGCCATGGTATTCCCTGTAGTAACCTACGGATGTGAGAGCTGGACCATAGGGAAGGCTGAGCAAAGGAAGATAGATGCTTTTGAATTGTGGTGTTGGAAGAAAGTTCTGAGAGTGCCTTGGACTGCGAGAAGATCCAACCAGTCCATCCTCCAGGAAATAAAGCCCGGCTGCTCAATGGAGGGAAGGATACTAGAGACAAAGTTGAAGTACTTTGGCCACATCATGAGGAGAGGAAAGCTTAGAGAAGAGAATGATGCTGGGGAAAATGGAAGGAAAAAGGAAGAGGGGCCGACCAAGGGCAAGATGGATGGATGGCATCCTTGAAGTGACTGGATTGACCTTGAAGGAGCTGGGGGTGGTGACGGCCGACAGGGAGCTCTGGCGTGGGCTGGTCCATGAGGTCACGAAAACGAATGAACAACAAGGCCTTTTCGCAGACCACCATGAGAATTTCGGCTACATGCCTGGCTGTGTGGATGGGCCCTCAGTTAGAGAGCTGTGTGGATGAGCGCTTTAAAATCCTTTCTGGCTATAAGGCGAGACACTGGTGCATTCAAGGGGCAGAGATGCAGCCTTCCTCGCTGCACCTGCCTGTAATGACACCAGCATCCTCTGGCCCGCTTTCCTAGAAATCCACACACGGAGAAACGAGAGGGAACGGCCTGCCTGGAGAAGCTCGGGTCGGGGCTGCCTTCCTGGGGGGTGGGGGGGGGCACACCTTGGCCCTCAGAAGAGGACACTCTCCTCCTTCCCCCCTCCCCTCTGGAGCTGGGCCTGGGCCTGAGGGGGCTCAGGAGGCGGCCAGTCCGGAGAAGACTCCTCTCTGGCCCAAGGAAGGGCGCACGCGCAGCCCCCGTCCGTTTGCGTCGCTTGCCGCGTGCCACACCTCTGGGGGCGGAGGGAGGAAGGAAAGAGGCGGCCGCGAGGACAGAAGAGGAGGAGGAGCAGCCCCCCCTTCCTTCCCTCCCCTCCCTTCCTCCCTCTCAGCGAAGATCTCGCGGTGCTGCGCGCGCTCGGCTCCAGACGCCTCCGCCTCCTCCTCCTTGTGCTGCTGAGAGCGGTGACTGTGCGCACAGCTGGGCGGAGAGGCGCGCCGGCAACCAGCCGCGGCAGGAGCAGCAAGCGCGAGCCAGGCGGGGGTCGCCCCGCGTGAGGCGCCCTCAGGTGTGAGGGGGAAAGGCGCCGCCGCTGCCGCCGTCACTACCACCCTCAGCCTCGCCCAGTCCGATGTCGCGGCGGCACCGTCAGTAGCTGCTTTCCCGCCCGAATATGGCCACCCCGGCAACGTGCACCCGCTTCACCGACGAGTACCAGCTGTACGAGGAGCTCGGCAAGTACGCAGCCTCCGTCCAAGACTCTCAATGTTGTTGCTGCTGCTGTCGCTATCCCCCCCTCCTCCTCCTCCCTTTTATTTATTTTTTGGCTTCCTTTCCCGCCCTTCATTCAGTTGCGTCGCCGCCTCAGTTTGCCCCTCAGCCGCCTCTCCCTCCCTCCCTCCGGCGTCTAATGCGGACTTGGCGCGCGGCTCAGGCAAAGGGGCCCTTGGCGCGCGCGCTGCCCTTCTCACCCACCTGCGTGTGCGCGCGCGCGGACAGACAGAAAGAGGGAGGAAGGGAGGGGAGAGCAGGGGAGGGGGCGGCTCTTGCGCCAATTAGCCCACTCTCGCTGTCAGTACGGACGCCACCGCTGCCTTCCGTCAGAGAGCAACTTACTCCCAACAGGGAGGGAGGGAAGGAAGGAAGGAGGAGGCGAGGGAGGGGCTTCCCTCTCTGTCTATCTGTCTCTCTCTCTCTGAGGGCAACTCGGGGAAAGAAAGTATATTGCAAAGGGGGAGAGAGGCGACAACGTGGGAACTCGTCACCCCCCGTGCCTTTCTCGGGCTTGTGCGTCCACTTGGGGCCTCTGCGCCGTTACTGCAGCCTCCTCCGCCCTCAGGCCTTCTCTCTGCGCCAAGGGAGGAAGGGAGAAGGCTCCCCAATGGCTCTGCCGCCGGGCACAGACAGAGAGCGAGATCTGCCGGCCTTTCCTTCGGTCCTCTGCTAGAGAGAGAGAGAGACAGCAACAGCCAAGGGGAAAAGGGGGGGGGGGGGGAGAGGCGCATCCCAGGTACTGCTGCTGCATTGGATGCCTCCCCCTTTCTTGCACCAGCCAGTGGGGGCTGCTGCATCCCTCCCTCCTTCCCTTCCTCGACTCCTGCAGCTCAGGCTTCTTCACCAGCTCCCACTCCAATCCCTCAATGGGGAGATGGGCGAGGAGGAGGATATGTTTTTGGTTTTTTTTCTCCTTTCCCAGGGCGTGCAACTATTCAGACACATCCTTCCAGGATGCAGACAGCACTCCTTTTTGTCAGGAAAGGTTTAAGGAGGGGTTCGTAAACTTTTCCTACTTACGGCCTGATACATTTTTAATGTGGCCCCAGATATGCCAATATAATATATACCATAGGCATACAAATTAAATGCAAATTGATGATAATAAAGCATAATTTGCAAGACTCGCTAAACAGTGGAGTACAATTGAAGCGTTTTTACAGAATCTGCTCTACCGCATGTTTCTGGTACAGTTTTTATTTAATCAAGTCAGAAGCATCTTGAGAATATACTGCAAGTCACTTCTGGTGTGAGAGAATTGGCCGTCTATCCATGGTATGCCCAGATGTGTTAGCATCCTTGGGGAAGCTTCTCTCATGTCCCTGCATGGGAAGCTGGAGCTGACAAATGGGAACTCACCCCACTCTCTGGGTTCAAGCCACCAACCTTCAGGTGTTCAAGTCAACAATTCAACTGGCGCAAGGGTTTAACCCAGTGGTTTTCAACCTGTTGGTCCCCAGATGTTATGGCCTTCTACTCCCAGATATTCTAACAGCTGGTAAACTGGCTGGGATTTCTGGAAGTTGTAGGCCAAAACACCTGGGGACCCACAGGTTGAGAACTACTGGGTTAACCCATTGCACCACCACGGCTCCCTGGTAGAGCTCAGAAACATTTTACTGTTGCCAAATGTTTGTGACCCCAACATTTTGCTAAAGGGGTCCAAGATGCACAATTGAAGAAGCAATGGTATAGGGGACCAACCGATCCTCTACTTTACTGGCCATGCACTCACGTTGCCTCCTTATAACCCTTTGGAGTGGTTTTCTCGTACCCATTCTCCTGCCTCCATTGGCAATCATTGTGGCGCTTCTGCTTGTTCGCCACCTTCCTTCTCTTTTTTGCGCCATTACAACCTTTCTAAACCTGTACTGGCAAAAAAAAGAGAGAAATGCATAAGGCATTATGTCATTCTTGTGTTCATGTCAAATAAACGTTTGAATACCCATTTTGCAGGCATTAATGTGAAGTTCAGGGTATTGCTGTAAGCTTGGGACAAGGTCTAGACCAGACATGGGCAAACTGAGGCCTTCCATTGTTTTGGATTTGAACTCCCGCCATTCCTAACAGCCTCAGGCCCCTTCCTTTACCCCCTCAGCCCAAGGCTGGTAGGAATGGCATGAGTTGAAGCCCAAAAAACCGGAAGGCTGAAGTTTGCCCATGCCTGGTCTAGACCACTTAAACTGCGGTTCCCGACCCTGAATGGGGTCCCCTGTGCTCACTGTTGGGGTTTTTGAACTTTGGGCTGTTTTAGACATTTACACAAATCTGTTGTGCAGTGTACACAGTGGATTCTGCAGAAGATACTTCAGCTGTACTTCATAAAAAAGGAAAACCAGCCTGTTTAGCAAACCTTGCAGATGCTGATGTATTATCAGTAAATGTTTGGGTTTTTATCCCTATATATACCTAGGGTCGTGTAAAAATGTCTCCGGCTGAAAGAGTTCACAAGTGGAAAGGTTTAAGAAGCCCTGGTGTAGAACACACACAAAACAGTATTGTGTACCCTCGTTTTAGGGAACCAAACATGTCACTGTGTTCATCTACCCCTTTGTATCCTTTTGTATATTGTGATATTTCTTTTCTTTCCCTTAATTTTGATGTTATTTTTTATTTACATTTCATTATTAACTCAGTGTCACAGAGTCAGCCTTCTTTTTTGTTCCAGGGGAGCTTTTTCAGTAGTCCGTCGCTGTGTGAAGAAAACCTCATCCCAAGAGTATGCTGCAAAGATCATCAATACGAAGAAACTGTCAGCCAGGGGTGAGTGCCTGAATGCAGGTTTTTGATCAGGTTCCCTTGCAGGTTCTCCATGATAAGATGGTTTTATTGTTCCTTATTTCAAAGAATGTCACAAGCAGCAACTTTGCATTTCTCTGTGTCAGTGCTTCTATAAGTATTTTCCTGTGTTGCCCCAAAGTTATAATAATAGTTCACGTGGACTTATTGTGAGGATTTTAAAAAACTAGGTATTGCTTAACCTTTGATACTGTTTTGCTTCTAATGGTCTAGTGCTAGGCATTTTTGTTCTATATTTTTTTAGAATTTTCAACGAGAAATCGATGGCTTCGTTTGGTAAATAACTTGCATAAACTCACTCTGGCCTACTTTCGAGTAAGCATACATAAGGATGGCTTGGGAGTTCTCTTGGAGATAAGTATACATCAGTGGTTCTCTCTTATAGGACCACCAGTTGTCCACAAGAACACAAATATGGTCCACGGCCTCACCATTACTACACCATTTCTACAAAACCACATGGTAAAGAGAGCGATTGGTCTTGTGAAACCCTCTTATAGTGCTAAGGCAATGGGGATGTTGGGAGAGGAGAGGCTGACTACCCACGAAATATTACTACTACCACATCACCTCTAGATTATTAAATACAGTTTTCTGTGAGCGAGCAGATGACAACTACTGGATGGCATATGTTCTGCATCAGAAATTAGACCTGATGTGGTCTGTCCAATGCAGTTTTCTGAGTCAGCACCCCAAATAACCAAACCGAATCCAAAGTTGACCAGAAACTGATTCGTAATCCTTTTGGTACTAATGTTGGAGAGTGGTCCCTGGTCAAAGTGGTCCCTGCTCAAGTAGTCCCTGGTCAAAAAAAGGTTGGGAACCATTGGTATAGACAGATATATAAATTAGACTTGTGTGTTGGTTTAATTTTCAGTGTCTAGATGCAGTGCTTGGGCAAAACTGCATTGTACAGAAATGTTAAAACATTCTTTGTTGCCAACAACAACAACATGCCCTTTGATGTAATTGCATCTGGATGCATTTACAGCAGACTCCCAGTTAACCGCCAGCCATGGGGATTAGTAGATGCCGGATGAATTTAGTTCCTAGTTGCTTGACAATTACTATTAAAAACCTGCCTAACTAATACTATACCATACTGTAAACTCTGTATTGACTTGATAATAATATTGAAATGCAGTACTTACAAACAAGTCAAGATAAATAAAGACAAAATTAATGTAACACAGTTTTACTGTATCATGTTAGAATGCTTTGTGAATGCAATACTGTATTATGTCTTCAAGTTTTTGCAGGTTAGTTGAGTTTTTTTGGTTGTGCGAATTCCTGTTAACTGAGAGTCTACTGTATGTAGTTTGTCTTGGAATAGTATCTCAGACTGTGAGTCCTAATTCTCGTAGGGATTGTGAAGTGATGCTTTTATCTTCTTGTTTTTCTCTGATTGTGTGGATAAAGTTTAACACTGTGGCAGGATATACCATGTAATCTGTGAAGGAATGTCAGAGGCAAATTCAAGCATGTCTTTATTTTTTTGTATTGAAGCCTTTTTGAGATAGTGTGTTGTGCCATAAACTGTTGCTATCACACACTGACCTTAAACATTCAAATAAAGTCATCTCGTGGAAAATATAATGAATTAAATTATTCTCATACCGTCATAAATGCTATATTTCACAAGGTTTGACTGTTCTTCAAGGATCTGCTGTTCATTACTCAAGTTTAGTGAGTTATAAGAAATAATGTGATACTAAGTTATTGCTTTATTCACTGTTGCTTATAGCAAACTGTTATTTCTTCTTCATGTTCTTTCAAATTAGTCATATGTAATAAGCGGGTTTCAGTGGAAGGTAGAATGTGTATGACTAGCCTTGACTTAATGACCAGAACCATGATTATTCTGTTAAATGAACAGAGATTAATTTCTCTGTCCTTCAGTGTAACTGGTTAAAGGCATGCAATGCAACAGAGTTAATTTTGATAAAATTTAGCAGTTATATTCTCTTTATTTCTTCCCTTCTTGCTGTTGTACTCCCTCTTTTATAGCAGCGCTGTTTCCTCACAGATACAAGTGGGTTTTCTGTTTTCTTAAAAAAAAATCCAGTAGTAGGAGCCTTCAATGGGAAGATATTTCAGCCATGCAAGCTGACTTTCTGAAGTTTTTTCCGAATAAGTTGGCATGTCCCCAATGTTAATATCTTACCTTGATTGTGAACTCAGTGACACTAGACTAATAAATTTCTCCTCTGCTCTCTATCAACAATGTGACAGTAATGGACATTTTGGATTTTATTTTTTTTGGCAGTAATTATTCAAAGATTATTTACTAGAGAAGTGCATTGCTGCAGAAAGTAGATCATTGGGGGGGACGGGGACGGGGGACCTGGATCAGAATACAGTGTATGGAGGTGTGCATTGGAGAAACTGCTGTGGTGTACATTTGATTATGTTATTTTCTGTCTCATTTTCTTATTGCAAACTAAGAATGTTTTTGAACATATCCTAGTGCACTCTAAAAGACATATAAAATGGCACCCCATTTTCCAAACAAATACTCTGTTGTAATTCTTGCTCAGCTTTCTCTTGCATGGTGTTATTTAGATTTGTAAGGAGGGTGAATCATAGAATCATAGAGTTGGAAGAGACCTCATGGGCCATCCAGTCCAACCCCCTGCCAAGAAGCAGGAATATTGCATTCAAAGCACCCCTGACAGATGGCCATCAAGCCTCTGTTTAAAAGCTTCCAAAGAAGAAGCCTCCACCGCACTCTGGGGAAGAGAGTTCCACTGCTGAATGGCTCTCATAGTCAGGAAGTTCTTCCTAATGTTCAGATGGAATCTCCTTTCTTGTAGTTTGAAGCCATTGTTCCGCGACCTAGTCTCCAGGGCATCAGAAAACAAGCTTGTTCCCTCCTCTCTGTGACTTCTTCTCACATATTTATACTTGGCTATCTTGTTTCTTCTCAGCCTTCTCTTCTTCAGGCTAAGCATGCCCAGCTCTTTAAGCCGCTCCTCATAGAGCTTTATCTGCAGAGCCTTGATCATTTTAGTCGCCCTCCTCTGGACATTTTCCAGCTTGTCAATATCTCTCATCAATTGTGGTGCCCAGGATTGGACACAATATTCCAGGTGTGGTCTAAGCAAGGCAGAATAGAGGGGTAGCATTACTTCCCTGGACCTAGACACTATACTCCTATTGATGCAGGTCAAAATCCCATTGGCTTTTTTCTTGCCACCACAAGGACCCCAAGATCATTTTCATATGTACTGCTCTCGAGCCACACATCCCCCATTCTGTATTTTTTGCATTTCATTTTTTCTGCCTAAGTGGAGTATCTTGCATTTGTCACTGTTGAACTTCATTTTGCTAGCTTTGGCCCAAAGGCATAGTAGATGTCTGAAAGCAGTGTGCCCAAGGTGATGAAAAGAGCCTGTAGAAGTAATAATGAATATCTTGGTATTTGAAGTCAGATTTGGGTGATTGATTCTAAAAAGAAAAGAAGATTATGTCCTTGACGTGGGGCAGCAATACATAGCAATGACATAAGTGAGAGATAATTTGTGAAACAGCATGGTCTAACATTAATGTAGTCTTCAAAGAAACCAGTGATGGAAGTAAAAAGGCAGACTCTGTAGAGCCCAAGGATAACTCTGACAAGAGTGGAGAGCAAGGGTTGGCATTAAAGGATTTCTTTATTCCTTGCTTTTGGAATAAAAATAGAGTAAAACTCTTAAGGATAAAATATTCACAGGAATGGGAAAGTTTGTGAGTAAAGATGATAGCTGCTTGTATGGATTTGTTTTGCAAGGCTTTCTTGTACTCCTTAAGGAGTTGTTCTGTGTTTTTGTTTTCAGATGTTGGGAAATCTTTATTTACATAAAGATTTACATAGGGCCATTGAAGCATCTTTCTGGTAAATTAAATGTCGCTTGTAAACAGCTAGTTCCCATTAAAGAGACAAACTTGGATGCCATCTCAGGTGCCAAAGTTCATTGAGGCCTTCTTCACTTTTTTTAATGTCTTTAGGGATATGGGTGGGGAGGAGAGCCATTGTCATTGCCTTTGGAGGAACCACACACAAGCAATTTGGCAGTTTGGCTGCATATGATCTTCTGCATGCCTAGCAGCAAGACCAAGAGCCTGAAAAGCACAGAGAATAAATGCAGTTTTAAATGGAATAAGATAAGGAAGTGATGTAGGCTAAGAAAATAAAAATAAGAAAATAATATTCTAGTCAACACCTAATTAATAGAAAATTGTGCAGAAATTAGCAAAATGATATTTATTGGAGAGAAATGCAAAATTCTACTTATAGGCCACAAAAACCAAATGCATAGGATAGGATGGACTAGTTGGTGCAGTAGCTCTACATGCAAAAATGATTTTGAAGTTATCATTGATAGGGTGAATAAAAGCCACCAATGTGGTGGTGTAGCAAAGCTGGTAGATACTGTTTTAGCCTTCATTACTAGAAGCATAGTTTCCAAATCAAGGGGAGTAATAGCCCCATTGTCACCATCATCATAGGTGAGCACTCATGGCTGAGTCTGATTGTCTTCCAAGTGTAGAGTCATGGCTGTGGGTCCGCAAGTGGCTGTAGAGACCTATTCTGATTCTAGATGGTCTTTTGCAGTGAGAATATACATTTCCAGATGAAAGTGATCCCAACAAGGGTTTGGTTCACATGCCTTCCTCTTGGCAAGTTTCTCCCTTTTGCCCTCTATTCATGTCGCTTTGAAATCCTTATCACTGTTGGTAACAGCTGATCTCCAGTTAAAATGCATAAGCACCAGAGCTTCTCAGTTCTTGGTGTTCATTCCACATTTTTAAGATTAACTTTAAGCCCATCTTTAAATCTCTTTTATTGTCCACTGACATTCCATTTTCCATTCTTGAGCTGAGAGTAGAGTATCTGCTTTGGAAGATGATGATTGGGCGTTCAGACAACAGAGAGGTTGGTGGCACAGAATAATTATTTCGATGCCGGTGGTCTTTGCTTCTAC